TATGCCCAGACTTGTAATGGGTTTCACAGGAGTTGATACACTTGATCTTTGTCTGTGCTGGGGTTGACTGAGGACAAGTATGTCCACTGGTGTAGAATCCAGCCTTTGTGCTTTGCAAAAACCTTCAAATTTGGTATCTGACAGTAGCCTGAAGTAAGCAGTAGCCTGAATAGCCGGCGCTGCAATCTACTGAACAAAGGGTGTCTCTGGGAGAATGATGATTCGATGTACATGTTTTCAGTGTTTTTGAAGAGGGACTGTTTTAGTGGAAGTAATAATCTCCTGAATTTTATATTATTTCCAGACTGTTTTGTATTGTTTCGTAGGCAGAGAATAAAGAACTTTGTTTACTGTTTTAAAGTAGGATGTCTGATCCTCCTGGGGGAGGTTATTCTTTTATTAAAAAAGGTATAAAATAGCTGCATTGATGGAAATAGAACTCTAGGAATTGAAATGGTGATGATTACAGAAGCTGTAGTATTTTAATGCAAAATAAGCCCTAGGAGATATGTGCCCTAAATGGTAAATCACTCAGTTTTTTAACAAAACAAGAATTACTGTTATTTTATGATTCTTGCTTATTTTACAAGGTCTTTAGCTGTTTCATCTGCACTTAACTTTTACAGGCTGGGGATAAATTGATTGTTGTTTTGCCTTTTAAATAGCTTGGCTTTTTTTAAAGCATGCTGGAGATGCAAGCACAGATTAACAGGATCGGATTCATTTAGTACTCAAACAAGCAGGGAGAAAAGCCGTGACTGCTGACACCCTATGCAATAACTGGATTGGAATCTGTTCTCATCACTTGGTGGTGTTTTGTAATCTTCTTGGAAGGAGCCAAAGACTGTAGTCTGAAAGGGTAGTGTTTAGTATTGAGGGGACAGTGTGTATCACCTTGAAATGTGTGTGTTTATTGTAAGAGAACTCCTGCTGCCATTTTAGAGGGCCTGTGGGATCCCTCAGGGCACTGACCAGCTTCACATGGGGCTTCCACCCACGTTCCCAGCCCGGAGACCTGCAAGCTTTATTTAAGCTCAGCCCTGGGCCCTCAGCCCAATGCTTGGGCTATGCAGGAGGAGTACTGGTCTCCAGTTGAGCCATAGCCATGCCTGTGCCTGGCCATGGACCCCACTGATCCAGACCCAGGCGTGCCGTGTCACTGTGGACCTGCCTGCTGTCACTGGACCTGATCCTAACCCTGACCCACAGATTTGCTGCCCAGGTTGACCTTGAGCCTCCCTCTTCGCCATGATGTTACCTCTTGGTTGGACCTGGCTGCCATCTTGGGTTGTCCTCTTTGCCCCGCTCAGGTGCTGTGGAAGTGGGCCTCAGGCAGCGAGGCCCCTGCCCAACCGTCAGAAGGATGCCCTCGGCACCACATCCGTCGGGGAGCTGCTGGCCTGTGGTGCTCCTGACATGGTTTCTGTAATCTGGCTGCTGTGCCTTGGGTGTTGCAAAGAGAGGGTCCCTGGAGAAGTGAGCCAACCTGCAGGAGCTGCCAAGGACAGTTGTCGTCTCCCATTGAAGAGAACTGGAAAGAAGCTCCCTTTAGATTTGGTCTTCCCAGATGCTTAGCTGATGACAGGGATTGCTGTGGCATGGCAGGTCCTTTGTGTGCTGGGGAACACCCACTTGCTTGATAGTATGGGAAGGACCACAGGGTCTTGGCCAGCATGGCAGGAAAAGAGGAACCATCTGTTTGCTTTTGCTTTGAAAGCCCCCAGCAAGGTAAACGAAGGAGTGTGTGTTTGTTCTAAACTGAAATTACCTACCTCTAGCAGGCTGGGATCTCCTGGTAGGATGATTCATTAGGGGTGTCATGTTCCAGCTCTGGCAACTTGTGTTTTACTTTGAATAATTAGGCTTACCTGCCAAATGTTTGGAATCTGAGATGCTGAAATGTATTTAGCAAAAGAGCGCCCTAAATACAGACTTAGAAGCTGAGCACAGAGGCAGGTGGCTGAAAGGGTTAATCTGTCCCAGTTTCTGCTATTTATGATGACCTAAAATCCTTAATGATGGAAACTAACAACAGATAACAAAATCTTTGCATCTTTTCTTCATTAATGTTAGCTTGTGACAACTCCAAGTTAGCAATGTGGAGAAAGTACTGGTTTTGGAGATCAAAGAACTGCCTCCTTAAACTAGTTCAGAGAGGAGTAAGCCAGATGATATGCTGTCTTTGCTCACATGCTGTCCTCGGTAGCTCCCATAATAAAAAGGAAGACACAAGAAGATGCAATCTGGTAGCTGTCTGTGTTGGGGTATCTACCTTGGACTTTGCAAGCTTTTGTTCTTTCTGATGCTTAGGACAGTCTCTTGCTAACAATAGTTTTTTCTTGCAGGAATGCAGGTCTGAATCATATCTCCCTGAATCTTCGTTTTAGCAGCAACTGGAGGATAAAAACTAGCGCAGTGCTCGTTTAAAGTCACTATGCTCTAGTTTGCAATTTGCTCATGTTTAAGTGCCGAGCTTTAAAGGTTTCCTTTGCCTACAGGCAGTCTGAATACAAAGGGAGAATTTATTTTGTTCATAAAGAAAGTTTTGCAAAAGCTCAAAGAGAAAAATATTTCTTCCACCTTCCATCTTCTCAGGTTTATTATCACAAAGCAGAGTTTGCCTCAAGAGGGGAGTGAGGAAATGTAAATTCGTGCAGTGACCTCAAGATGTAGCTGGAAATGAGCATGGTGGATGGGATGTGTGTATGTACATACCTGTGTGAGAGGAGTGAGAAGGTCCCACCTTGAAACAGTTTAGGCATTTGATGCCTTGGAGATGCCAAAGAGGTTTACCAGGGACAAAGTGTAATGGAAAAAAATCTCTGTATGTGGCTGGTTTCTTTGCTGTTGGCAAGGCTGGGCTTTCATGAAGATGGATAGAAGTTCCGAGTCTTTATTGTGTGGCAATATTGTGTAAATTCTTCTGTTTAGAGGGAAGCTTTGCTGTGGGGTGGGGAAAAGGGAATTGCAGTTAGAATATAGTACCTGCAAGAAAAATGTGAAGGGATTAATATATTTCTCCCAGGAGCTAGTTTCCCTTCTGAAGCTGTGGGCAGAAGACACAGTCTGACATCTGAACCCTACAATAAAAGATTGTGTGTATCATAAGTTATTGACTAATAAAGTACTGCAGACTGGAAGGAGTGATTTTCTTTAGGATTTCAGAGCCTTACTCTTGTTGATTGCTTCTGTAGCCTGAGTAATTCTGTGGTTTCAATAGAAATGGAAGCAGTGCCTGCTTATATCCCTTTTGGTAGTCCAGCATGTCTTATCTTTGAAGGCTGTCTGTGCTGTAGGTTGACTGAGATGATTGCCTGAGGCTTATTGTCATGGTCTTCGTTAATATTAGTGCTTACCTGGAAATGAAAGCAGCTTCCTTACTGATGTCCAAGTTCCAGAATGTCAGAATACAGCTGTAAATAAAGGAAACTGAGCAGGGGCATCTCAGCTTGTTTCAAAGGAAATTATAGATCATGCAAGGATTAAATGACGCTTTTCCCTGTGGAGCGTAATGAGACCTCAGTACCCTGCTCCTGCTCAGCAGCATAAAGTCACTTGGAAGGATACTGTCCTTCAGGGCTTGCGCAAAACATGGCACAGCTAAGGGGGCAATGCAAAGTTCATCATGGGGATGAAAAGCAGTTTTTCTGAATAAAATACTACAAAATAAAATGCTGTAGTTCTCTGTTGATGAAGCTGCTCGCAGGTAGAGACTCTTTAAAGGTTTAGGTAATTAGACTCGGCACCTGCATAGCAACAGTTTCATCCCAATCATTTTATTTTCCTGTGACATGAAAAGGTATACTGAAGTTGGCCATGGTGTTTTCTTTAGGGAAAGTTTGTTGACTTTGCAATTTAGGGCCCTGTGTCATTCCTGTCTTTTTTATTTTTTTGGGGGGGGGGCGGTGGGGGGAGGGGAGTGTCTCTGTGTGCGTATATTCTCCTTGATAAAGGATGTTCTTTGTGTGCCTGTTTGCCAAGACGTGCAAATAGAAGCCCTGCTTTGGCTCTGAGGCTGATCCCGATACCTTCAGGGCATGTAATGAAATCATCAGTCTGTCATCTCATTTTACGTAGTTGAGGATTCATAATGCTGGGGAGAAGTCTTATTTCTCGGTATGTAAGCCAGTTCTTTATTGGCCACTTGCTGTGAAATTTCGGAAAAACATTCATCTACCAAAGGGGAGCTGCTCTGATTTCTGTGCTGAGACACGCAATCACATAAGAAAAAGAAAAGTTCAGACGTTAGTGCTGGCGAGAAGCATAAGTGTTATATTTGGGCAGGATCCCTGCAAGAACTGGCCTTTCATCTTTCTTTCGGTTTAGTTTTTCTTTATGTTGTCTATCGGTTATAAATTTTAAATAAGCTTATAGCCAGTTGGATCTCATGGACTTAGTGAAGGGAAGATGTGAAAAGGGCAGCATTTCACAGAATTCAGTTCTTAATCTCTGGCTATCCATTTTTTAAAATTATCCTTGTTTTGGACAGTTTAAGAAAGGTGTCTACTTCACAGGAGATCTTGATGTTTTATAGGCTTTTGTAGTCTGTAACTGAGTGTATTTTATCAAATGGAAATAAACTTGTAATGGTGTGTAAGATTAACTGCTCTGAAAGCCAATGGTCCTCTTCACTGCAGAACAGAATGAATGTTTTTACAGGCAAAAATTCCCCTCCTACTACTCTGGGCATTGAAGAGAAAGCTTAAAGCAGGTTTAAATATAAGGTAGTAGTCTGCTAGTCTGTAGTAGGTTGCCTATAAATATGAAGTCCTTGACAGATGCTTCACATGATTTCCATTTACTGAGCTGAGCTCAGCCATTCCGGCATAGTTGCAGCATGCTTTTCTGAGGCAGTAAATACTTTTGGCTCTGAATCTCTACCTGTGAGTTGTTGGGTAAAATGTGTTTCTCGGTTGAGAAAGCTGAAATCAATAGAGTAGTTATACCATGATAGTAGAAGTGAAAAGTTAATTTATGTCCTTTTTTTCGTGCTTCTTTAGGAACAAAGCCCCAGTAACCAGACGTCAATAGCAATGATGCAAGAGCCTCAAGAAATGGTGGAAGAGACAGTTACTGTGGAGGAAGACCCAGGCACTCCGACTTCCCATGTGTCTATTGTCACTTCTGAGGATGGAACCACAAGGAGAACTGAAACCAAGGTGAGAGGTTACCAATAAGGAAAATGGCAAAATACCACCTGATCACAAAATAAAAATAGCAGGGAGTAGTGTGGGTGATGATAGTCATGCTGTTGTGATCCTCAGTGATTTTGAATCCTCTGTTTGCCAGCAAAGCTGACTTCAGGGCTGTCTCCCTTTTGCCTCTGTGTCTGGTTTGCTCCCTATCAGCTATGCTGATCCAGCTGTTCATCGAGCTGTGAATTGACCAGTAGAAATTTTGCAGGTTAACCAGACGAAAACACTAGAACCCCTTCCCAGACTGTTTATTCTTTTAAGATTCGCTTTGTTTTACTGAAACTATTCACAGCATTACCCTGCAAACACGGTCATACGAGAATTAGAGGAGTTGCTAGGGCTTGGAGTAAATTACCTTTGCAGCTCAGGAAAATGTGCTTCGAAATATGTCTCCAGATTAGTTACGATCTATAATAACAGTATGTGATTATGTGTTTGTCCTTCAGAACAGGAAATATCCTGTTTAAATAACACCACAGCATTTAAATTCTGCGACAGTCTTGTGAATGGAATTTTTTTTACTCCTCATGCATGGGGAAAGCTGGGTGTGTTCTCAAGTGACCTGTACCTCAGGTTGGGCTGGCCTGCAGGTACTGCATATATTCGAATTTTCCTGATCCCTTTTGGTTCCCTTGTGCAAGATAATCTTGCAGCCTCTGAGCAGGTGCTGTGTGTTCATGGCTACCCTGTGTGCTTTCAGGTACCAGTGGAACATTAATATGCTTTGTCTATTGGGTCTTGGAAGTTGAGCTGAAATCTTTGTCTTGGTTTTGGTATTGTGAAGGATTAAGGGTGATTCCCTTTTTAAAAACTTCTAAAGAGTGCTAAAAAAAACCACAAAAAAAAAGTAAAACACAAGACTGTCCAGCTGTTTTCTGTGTTAAAAGGAGTTGAACAGAGGTCACTGCATAAATGGGTGTTTATTTTTACTGACGTTCCAGAATTGCAGTCCTCTAAGATTTCTGTTCAGGACATCAGATCCTCAGGTTGGAGTAACTGAGCGTTGATTTCCTGAGGTCAGTGGGCCTACACACACTGCTGTAAACTGAATATCTGGTTTAATGTTTGTTGCAGTTAGTTAGAAGATAAATATAAGTGGCCTATTTTCTCATTGTTGGAAGGAGATGAAGGTCTATTTTAAAATAAAAATGAATCAGACAAACAAAAACCCCCACATTTTGATTAGCTCTTCAAATAATCTCATGTATTTAGTCTGTGACTTATTTGAAAGAAATGCTGTTTTCTTTCTAGTGGCAGCAACAACAACTGTTACAGGAAGGAGGTGATAAAATTACAGTGGTCATGGACACCTTTTTATATGCACTAATAGTGGTGCATCGTTTTAGGAGACTGTAAGTGCAGCTATGCAAGGGAATAAAATGATAGCTACAACTGTAAAAATAGAGGAGAGGCCATGAAGTGGTCCCTAGATAACAGGACCACATGGAATGAAATAGTTTGTCTGAAATAGTCATGCCACTGATAAAGCTGCGTGTTTGTCATAGCGTAAAAGGTGCGATTTTCTCCTGTGTGTGGTGTACCTGCTATTTTTCCATCTTCCCAGGGAAAGGGACAGTGGCAGCTCCAGAACAGGCATTGTATCTGCGTGTGGGAAAAAAAACCTGAAGAAACAGCAACCCTGGAGTTACTGTTCCATTTCAAAGAGCAAGGCTTTCTTCAGTTACTGTAGTTCATTCCAGGCACTGAAGTGTGTCCGGAGTGGGGGCAGGGTGCAGGGCTGTCTTGCTCTTCATTTATGTTGCTTCAGATAGCGCCACTGACTTCACCTTACGTACCATCTGGAGGTATTTCCTAGTAATTCACTGCTAAAAAGACTGACTCTTTAAAAAATAAATAAATAAATAAATAAAATTCAGTTGTTGAGAAAGGTGATTCTGAAATGTCAAAACACAGACGGGGTTGGCTTAGCCCTGATGCTGTCAGAAGAGGTGCTGTGACTTTCCTGAGGTGTTTGTTGTCTCTGAAATGGTTGTGTTTTGACTTTTCCTTGATGGGATAATATGGCATAGATTTAACAGCTCTTAGGTATGACTCTGAGGTCAGATTTTTTTATTTTTTTTTTTTTTTTAAATCGCCCTGCTCCTTAACTTGCTTTTTGGTGTGGTAGGGACTGTGAAAGTAAACACTGTTGTCACTGGGGTTTAGTAACATCAGTTGAGTGCCCTGGAGTTAACTGACATCAGCTTACTACCAGTTCTAATAGGAACCATCATAGTGCTTTTGTAGGTCATACTATTACGTGTGAGAGCCTTACAGAGAAAATTGAGTTTCCTGGTACCTCTGCATGGTGGCGAAATTCTGGCCTTGCTGCTCAGATGAGGACGGTGAAGGAAAGCGTTTCTCTGGGATGAGAGATGCAAACACGTCTGCTGCACTGTGCAGTAGCAGGATCTTTGTTTAGCCCAGAAACTGCAGTTCTGTGTCTCTGCCTGTTCTCTCTCTGATTTAAAAAAAAAAAAAAAAGGGGGGGGGACACACAAACACCCAGGGACACCCCCCAGCCCACCCCCAAAAATAAAAAAAACATCAAACCCAAAAAAACAATAAAACACCCCATGTGAATCTGGCCTGGCTTTTATTTTGCAGGTGGTTCTTATCCTTGTAAAGGAGCAACATTTCCAATGGTGGGAATCCTAGCATCTATTTTTAGTGATACGTGATCTGTTGATTAATAAGGGTAATGTTTAAAGTTGAGCTGGTCACCCTGTGTTAATTACATGTTAGAGGGGGTTAGGTTTATGCTCAGCCACTTTTTTTTTTTAACTTTGAGCAATCAATTAAGTCAAGGTAGTTCGCACAGCATACAAATAAAGGTTTTTATGCTCCACATTGCTGTGCTTGCTCTAGGCTTCTTTGAGGAAGGGTTTAGACCCTTTTCTTATTACCTGTGTAACTAGAAGGCTCTACTGGACAGTGCCAGTCACAATCTCCAGCATATTTGTCTTGCAAAGAAAGTCGCAGTGCCAGATGCTTCTTCTGACAGAGTAAATAACACAGGTCGTGGTTTTTTACGAGCCAGAGACCAGAGATGTTTTCCAAATGTATGTTTTCTTTGCTGGATAGCTTATGTGGGGATTAGTCAACCTAATGCCATTCAGTGTGCATTTTTGGATTTTTCAAAAGATAATTGTAATTTATTTTTGCTAAATTCTATGAATCTTCAGCTTGCTGGAGAATGATGCCTCTGAAATTCCTCCTCTAGAAATAAAACATAGCAAAAGCAGCAATGTGAATGCTTCTGTGTGCTGCTGTTCCTTAATTTCCCCATTCCCCCATTGTTTCAAAACCATAATTTATGAAGGTTATTCTCTTCAGTGGCGTATTAAGTAAACAAGCTTAATCTGGAAGCATGGACAGTTTTGCTGTGCTTTCCCCCACATCTTTGGAGATGCCTGTAGCGGTGAAGCAGGAAGAAGGTGTAATAGAATTTAGTATTTAACATATGTTAAATAGAGAACATCTGCCTTTTCAAAATTAGATATCTCTGTGTAATTTTCCCCATTGACTGCACAAAAGGTGTAGCAGGTAATACTTCATTTCAACTTTATAATCTCTCTGAAAGCCAAATGCCCATCATCTAGAACAGTGAAAGTCACCTTGGGAAGAGCTGACCACTTCTTGCCTGGCGGCTGGAGCTCTGCCAGGTGTTGGAGGGAGCCTGCTTGTAAGTGTCTCCAGAGAACCCAGTAAAGCAAATTAGGTGTGCGTGTGCTTGTGTTACTGTTTGCTTTTTTCTTTCTTCAGGCACATTTTATTTTTAGCATTGAAATGCCAAAAGATTGGAGAGATTTAGGTCACTTCTATTCATTGAAAATGATGTTTTATGATAAAAAACTGTGAGATCAGTCTGTATACAAAGTTGTTTCACTTCCAGTCCACCTATTCGCCTTGTGCCAGGCCAGATCTTTCCCAGCAGGGATTAACTGCTGCTCCCACTCCAGCACCAGCGATGGGCAAGCGCTTGTGACTGAAGCTCTTCAGCTGGGGCGGTGCCAGGTACCCTGAGATGCAGTTCTTTGAAACTTCGCAGAAGATTCAAAGGAATTAGGTAACAGAGCAGGATTTTTTTTCAGCTGAAGTTGAGGGCCCTTTCAAAGTGTGAAATGTTAAGCTTAGAATTGATGGGGAGAAATTTGAGCTGTTGTTTTGAAAACCTACAGGGTGAATTCTTACACAGCATTTAACAGAAAGGTAATACCTTCAGCCTGTTTGGGCTGATTCATTTTTACAGTCCATAGTTCAAAAATAAGCTCTCAGAAATGTCAGAATGCTTTTATCCTCATGCATTCTGTTTGTTGTTTTATGACATAGTTTCAACGAAATTTTTAGCCCTGTTGGCTGTTATAATGTCCTTCATTTATAAAAAAAAAAAAAAGGCAAAATGAAACCAACCTCAATAACAAAATGGAAGACAGAATTACAGGGACTGGTTAAGATGACTGCATTTGGCCATGATAGCCCACGTCAACTGAAGTACTGGTACTGTCTTTCCCTGTCTTTTGTATCTACTTGTTATCTACTTGCACCATCTGCACATGCATCCAGTAAGTCAAATTGTTGGATATTTTCATGTTTGTTCTCCCATCCTTCAAGACAAATACAAGGATGAGGGTCAGAAAAATACAGGGGGTGCTTCAAATGTGTGAACATTGCCTTTGTGTTCTGTTGGCAAATGTATTTCCAGAAATAGAATTGCTGAAAACATTGTTGTGAGGCCTGTAGGGCAATTATTTAACAAAATAATTGCTGGGGGGGGTGGATGATGAGAACAACGATAAGGTTGGTAAACCTGAAATGTCCTCATACTCTCAGGTGGGGGGAGCCGCAATGAAAGCACGGACTCGCAGTCTCAGAATTTTGGTTGCAGAGGGCCTGAGTAAGTTGGTAGATTGGAATTTTTTATTTTTTACAGTGGTTGAAACCTTAATGTAGTTTACAGGGGATAAAGAATTGCAGATACATTTTAAGCATACTCAGACAACCTCTTTGTAGGGAAGTAATCTGAAGCTTTCATCTGGTACTCTTGAGGTTGTAGCATTGATACAATTGAGCACATTTAACTGGTAATTGGGCTAAAAAACCTTTTTAAAGAGGTTTTCTTTGGAGGTGGAAAGTAAACAGAGGAAGTCAAATTAGTTTCTCAAAGTAATTTGTATCTCTAAATTTTTCATTAGAGCGTGTCTGTAGTGAGGAGTTCACGCTAATAAATCTTTCTCCAGATTGGGTGCATTTGGAGGATCAGGTGTGTCTCAGATAAGACAGTCTGCTGGGACTCCCGTTTGGAATAGCCTCATTCTCTCTGGCTAATGCGTCGGTATTAAGGAAACCACAAAAATGTTGGGAGAGAAGATCACTGCGCTGTCAGGTGCTCAAGACTACCTGCATTCTTTGAAGAAATATAAATGAAACATTCCCTGAGCTGGATTTCCTGAAATAAAGACGTTTGGTTTGTTGTTGTGTTTTGTTTGGGTTTTTTTATTTCTTATAAACCTAATAAATGGACCTTCTCTGTGTGCTGGCTAATTGCTTCCAAGAAGCTTCTCTTTATTGTCCTGTAGGCAATAGTCTGTTTATCACATGATAAATCTTCTATCTCAGTGCCTACCCCTGGCAAATGAGGCATGAGTGTAAATACTCCCTCTCTCTCAAAATATAAAAAGACTTGATTTGATTGCCCCACCATAACACCTTTAGCATTATTGCATGCTTTTACGCTATGAGAAATGTGTACTTTAATGCTTGAATGAAATGTTCCTTTTTATGTGCCTGACAAGGGGGTTTTGCTTGTCCTGACTATTTCCATTCCTTAATAGGGGCAGCATTCAGAAAATAAGAGGTGAAGCTGTGCTGACTTTGTAAACTTGTTCTTATGTGTGCTAGCTGATGCTGTGTGTGTCTCTCTGACTAGCCACAGCTATTGTAAACTTGCCTATGTTAGTGTTGAAGACAGGAAAAGACAGCAAATTGGAAAAAAATTGCAAACGAATCTCCTACATTGTGTTGGTCATATATATTAAAAAATACTCTGTGAATACCCTGTAGAGTAACAGAGCATGGTGCAAAATCATGAAGTGTCATTTATTTGTGTCGCAAATTGTCTAGGATTTGGTTTTCAAAGTATTCTGAAATTCTGCTTTGTCTTTTGTGTACACGTACTGGATATCGGTAGACAGTGGTCCTTGCCATAACACTTCTGCATTGTGTCACCTCATCCTGTTTGACAATAACAATGATTCTCTGAAAAAAATAGAAATTAAACAGTCAAAAGTGAGCAAGAGTCCAGAATTGGCAGTAGGAGTGCTGGGTGAAGACATACAGCAGTGATGCCCCCTCTGCGAAGCCTTTATCCAAGGATCCTGCCGGTCAAAGCTTGTTCCTCCTTTCCTGCTGTTGCTGCAGCCAGACGCAGTGTATTAGGTATCTTGCCTCATCTGATCTTGACAATTTTGTGAAAAATTGTGCATGACAAACTATGCGTGCGTGGCAGCATATGTCTAGAAAAGCAAAACTTGGAGTTAGGTTTAAAGTATGTGGCTCCTGTTGAATAGTGCTGAAAGAAAGGGCTTTGCAAGGTGGTGCGAGTGTTCTGCTTGGCATCTAGAAAGCTGCCTCTCTGTTCCTTCCTGGGCAAAAGTATTGATTTCTGATTCATCAAACTTATTAAAACGCTACCTTGCTTGCTGTTATTCCCATTACTCTGTCCCAAATTGAAGAACGCAAAGGCTGAGCACTTTGTGTCCAGTTTTGTCATTGCTTTGCAAAACTCACATATTTCAGGTGTGAGAAATGTTGCTTTTTCTACTCTTAGAAGATCACTTATGAACATCCTACTTTGAATAAAACTATTGTTTCAAACTTCAGTAGGAGAATACTGAACTGTGTTGCCTTGTGTATATCCACTTTACAAAGAGCTACTGTGAGCTACGCCAGCTTTTTTTCTTCTCTAAATGCTGTCTAGTTTTAGAAATGCCGTGACAGTAGTCATGCTGATAACTGAGTGGAAAGGAGAAGTATTGTGCGCAGGTAACAAGCAAAAACTGCTATTGGATTCTATGTCATTAAATAAATGTTTAGTTTCTAGTTTCCTTACTTTTAGTTCTTAAAATGTGCTTTTAAAAAAGGGGGAAAATATTTGGAGGCATGGAAGCTAGCATTCTTTCCTTGCTAAGGAAATCCCTGGGGCTGAAGAGGAAAATTCTTTCAGCTCTGGCCCAGATTAAATGCTACGGTCATGTTGGTACCTGGCTGTGCTTTATTCAGCATCATGGTGCTGGTCAGTTATGCTGTTGGTGAAGAGAAATTTGTGCTGCTTTCAGTCTTGCAGGATTTCATTACTTCATTAGGCTAACATATCATTTGCTTGCAGATGTCGCTAGGAAAAGAAATGCTGTTTGGGTGAATTTTTTGTATTTGGGGTTTCTGTGTGAAAACATCTGTCTAGAGAACATCTCTGGAGCCACTTCAAGAGATGTACTCCAATTACTTTGTTTTAGCAGCAGCTTGGCTAATCTGGTGCCAATCTAAATGTTTAAATCAGGGGCCATAGGTCAAAATATCTGTTTGGACTTAAGAGCCACAGAGCAATCTGGGAATATGTGTTGTAGTTACTGTTTCTCTTGATGTACACATTTCATTCTGCAGCTTACATAAGGAAAAGCATAATTTACTGTGCTGATTTACCTCTGTAATGCTTTAGAAACCCGAAATATCTCTTGTGTTCCTGCCCTCCCTGTGAGGGATATTCTCTGGTGGCTTGAGTCTCCCTCTCATCTTTGTGGGTGTGTTGTGTTGTTGCTTCCTTGTTGTTGGTTGGTTGGTTGGTTTTTTTTGTACGAAGGGCTAAAAGTCAGCATTTAGAAATGTTAGGGTAACTTTTTATAGGTTGAAGTAACTTTATTAGGGTTAGGATAACCAAGGATAGGTTGGCTGCTGCTGGATTTTGTATCCTTCCCGAAAGAGCTTTTGCTGGTCACTCTGGAAGACAGTACAGAAGTTGATGGACCCCAGACAGCAACCAAAACAGAAGTTCCTTTGCTAGTTTGTAAATAGTAGTGGCTTTTGTCTGGCACTGTCTTACGCAGATTGACCTTTCCCATGAAGACAGAACATTCTTGGAACTCTGGAGGAGTCTTTGTTCGTACCCTTTAGCAAGAAACCCTGAACACAGTTTCCCTCTAGACACTTACTATTTCCAGTTTTTGTCAGTTATGTGAAATAGTCTAGTTCTCTGTGTTAAAATGAAATGGGTTTTATAGGAAGAAAAGATGTATTTGTGTACAGATTTTTCTGTAGTGTTTTAAACAAGCTTGTGCAGCGCATTATGTTTACGGTAGTTGCAGTTGCAAAGCTGTGTGGTGTTAGTGTTCGTTACTGCAAATATGTCAGTCACCAAAATAATGGAATGACAATGACGGCCTGTTGGGCTTGTATGGTGATAGTTGGATGTAAGCATATCTTAAAGTAGTTGTGCTAGCTAAAAGCTTGAAGCCTGAAACTTTTCTGTTTGAGATCACGGTTTCCTAAATAATACTGCAAAATTTGAGCTCCATCAAGTCACACATTGCTACGAACTTGATCCAGATCAGGCAGGAGCATTTAACTGTCTTTCTATCAAAGCAGAGAATGTGATGTGGTATTTATGCTAATTGTGGGAGGACAGGCTGTGGCTCCTCAACATCATAAAGTCTGTCCTAGGAAAGATGCCTCCTGAAAACATTTTGGGCAAATTTGAACTGGTGAAATGACTTTGCGCTGCTTCCATGCCCTGTCACATGGCTGCAGTGTTTTTGATTTGGTAGTAAGAGCCCCAGAGTGCACTTAGCTCTGGCTCTGTGACCTCTTTTCAGCTGTTTATAGACATATTTTCCCTCTACTGAATCCTAAACCTAATAGGTGAACTCATGAGTCCACCAGTGCTTCCGTTGAACAGCCATGTCACTGTAGTATGCTTTGCAGTGCTCTCTCCACATTTTGCTGTTCTAGCTCCCTGTATGTCTCATTACATTTGTGCAGCAAGGTAAAAATTAACATATTTATTCACTGCTTCCTCACAGGTTACCAAAATGGTGAAAACAGTCACCACCAGAACAGTGCGTCAGGTGCCACTTGGGCCTGATGGCCTGCCATCAATGGATGGCTCGTCTCCCATGGGCAGCTACACAGATTCGATAGACAGAAGGTACCTAAAGAATGGGGAGCGGTACATGACGCCACAAGCATCTTCCACATTAACCAGATCTTACAACAACTACAACGATTCTTACGCTGAAAGCCACGAAGGCCAGTATCGCCCTTATATCAGTCATGATGGTTATGGAGATCTATCCGATAACTACGGCAGCTTATCCCGTGGTGTCAACTACCGTCCTCGCTATGCCTATGTGCCAGGAAACAGTTACAGGCCAGATGATGGTAGCTTCACTTTGCCAAGCAGGAGGGATAACTACGGTCCTGTTGCCCAGCCTCAGGTGCCGGTTGGTAGCAACGTAGACTTGAACCGTTCCCAGCCGGAACGCTTCCAGCCAGAGCCCTATGGACTGGAAGATGACAACCGCAGCCTTGGAGTAGATGATGAAGGATATGAACTGGATCCTGATTACTCCACTGTGAACCGGAGGACATCTGCAGGTGTGCCAGAGAGAGGAAGACCTCACAAAGGAAGGTAGTACCCATTCGTTTTTTACAGTGCTAATCTGCCACTTGTTTGCTTATTTGAACGTGTAGATTTGAACTGTTAATGGTGTGGTAAGTTCTGGAATTACTTCATGGAAAAACAGGTAGAACCCATCATTTCATTAGCCCATAGATCACTGAAAAATGCACATGAAGTACAAAAGGAAGTGAGGGTAGTGCTCAAGAACCCTTTCACTGTGTTTCTGGGCTGCTTAGTTTTGGCTGAATTTAGAAAGAAAGAGATGATCTTGTAGAAGAGGGAGAAGTTACTTTTTTTTCTCTTTCTAAAAAAAGAGTTGTGACTGCATTGTGTTTTCCCGGAGCCTTCCCACACTAGCAAGGTGAAAAAAGGGAATTGTAATCTGTGACACTTCTGACAGGTCTGGTTGTGTGCACATCTGCCAAACAAAAAATTTGCACAGCTGATTGGGGTTGCAGACGAGTTGATACACGGTGGTGAAGCTGTCTTGTGAAGTGTTTGACAGCCTCAGCTCCTGAGCCTGTGCTGACCGCACACCCTCAGCTGCATGAACAGGTTGAGCTGAACCTCACTGAAGTACTTCAACATTTTGTAAGACCAGATCATTATTTTGTCCTGTATAAAGGGGAGATGAGAGCATCTGTGTTGCGCTTAATGTAACTAAAGTGACCAGTCACAAATTGCTTCTGGTTCACTCCTCCTTCCACGGGATGTTCTATTTCATGCCGCATTTTCTACTGTTAGTTGTTTGTGCTGGGCTCGCAGCTATCAGCTCTCACATTTGGAGAAAAAAAATAAAACAAGTTTTAGAAGAGAGTCTTATTACTCAGCTGAAAGTCATCTGCTGAGTATGAACCGGAAAAACGTGTATACTTTTGTTTTTCCAAGCAGCGTACAAACTTTTGTGTGTTGCTGCATGAAGTCATATCCTCATGAGTCATGTTTTGATATGGATTTAGTTCTCATTATTTCCTTTTTAATTTAGTTTTCAGAGCTGTAAGAGTCTTGAGCCTATCTGTCTCTGTGTGTAGATGGTCTTTAGGCTTCATACTTCTGACCAAAGGCTTCACTTTGTCAGCAGTAGTCGTCAGTGAGATTTGGGTAGGCCTTTTCGCGCTCTGTCTTGGGGTGCTTCTACTTGGAGATGTTATGTCACTGATGGTTTCATTCGTACTTTCATAGCCCTGTCTTCCTTTGCATTTCTAGAAGTTCATTTTGAAGTTAAATGGAATCAAGTACCTGAAAATTGTCATCTATATTTAAAAAAAAAAAAAAAAAAGAGAGAGACGAGGTATCAAGGCAGATCTCCCAGAAGCCCCTTGAAGCCCCTTGTGACAACTTTGATCTCGCTGGCTTACCAACCAGTGGAACCATGTCAGCACTGTCTGGGGCTGAAGGGAATACCTGCAGCCAGTGGGGGCCAAAATACAGATCAATCTATCAAACTTCAGTTGGTGCTTGCCTGCGTCTAAGCAAGTTTACAGTTCTCGTTAGAAACAGTCAGGCAGCAGTGCTTTTAAATTTTTATTAACATTTTTCAAACTGTATGCATGATGAATAATGAAATGTATTCTTAGAACCTGCCTATTTGCATTTTCAAAGTTTTGTTGTTTGGGGGCTTTTTAAACATCCTTTTGATTTATTGTTCCTTGCAGTTTGGATACGACTGATTCACAATTTTTTGTTGCGCATTTCTTTTGTTGTGAGTTTTTTACATATTTAATATGATCAAGACGCTTTGACAAGTAATTAGCCTGACTGTGGCAGCAAACTTGAGCTGGTGAGAGCATGAGAAGATTGTATGAGGGCCTCGTCATAAGTAGTCATTTTCTGACATTTCAGAGAAATACTTGAACAATTCAATAAACCTGCCTTTCAGATCCACTACTGATCTGCAAGAAACTAAAGACTACAAATATTGCTAGAGTAATGAGGGTAATTACTACTTGATTATTCCTCTACAGGTTTTTTAAAATAATTTATTCCCTGTGAAAATGATTAAAGGAATGTGGTAAGTTGATGGCGTTTTTGATTTAAAAAAATTTGTACGTGTGAAGTGGGTATACTCTGTTAGAAGCTTTTCTGTCTCGCACCAGCTTTCAGCTTGGGCATCTTCACCGTGCTCTGAACGGAATTCTTCCGTTCGCTGACTCACTGCGGAAAGTTAGGGTATTGTCTCACTTTCTTCGCAGTAAGTGCTACCCTCATTTGTTAACAGTTTCAAGGTAGAATAAGGATCCTTACTGTCCGTTACTAGTTTTGGTGCTGTTCTGTCCGAGAGGACTGCATGGAGGTTTCCCTTCTGAAGCTGTGGTCGTGAGTGTCACCCCTGTGTGATACGGAGGCAGCCCAGCCGTGTCTGGAGGGGTTCCTGGTCAAGGGGATTACGAGCACGGATTGTTCTCTCCATCCCTTGCCTGCTCCGTTTGATCACAGAGATAAATAGCTATTGTGCTTTCCTTCTGTCATCACTAGCCTCATTTTAAGCTACTTATATTTCATTTTAAATTGGAAAAAAATGTGCCTCCTCACAAATATCTGCAAATCCAGAGAAGTGCACAGAGGCAAATATTCCCTCTGTGGGCTCATCTGTGCTTGTGGCTGGGTTTGTTTCTTGTTTTCTTTTATACTGAGTCTCTGCTGTAAGATATATTATTTTCTGCAAGAAGAATACCTGGCACTTAATGTTCTTTTTCTTAGCATGTGCTCTGGTTTGGTTTAAGTCAGATTGCATAATAAGTTGGGGTGAGAGAAAGACATTTGCAGTGTATAATAGTGATTTAATATTACTCAAATTTACCTGTGGAGGTATTTACACATCTTTAATTGGTTTTATGCCCTTTTTTCTTAATTTGGTAGGTTGCCTTTATTAAATTAGGAGGTTTTTTATTATAGTCTTTAAAAATATGTAGTCTTACGGTGTTGCTAGGTGTTTTATATAGTCCTTTTTGAAAGAGAGGCAGGAAGTACTGAATATTTTTTCATTCATAAAACACATGCCTACTATTATTCAATTATTTTTTAATCATTAAATTGAGGTTAACACAAATGAGTGGGGAAAAAAATGGTAAGTCACAATTCATCTTTTTTAAAATTATTTTCTGTTCAACCTCTCATTTCTGGTCTCGGTGGTAATTTCTTTGCAGAGTGGATCACTACAGTTTCTACTTGTACTAGCATTCATGGGACTTATTTTTCCCTAAAAACTCTGGAGCAGCTGTTGCCAGTGCTAGTATTCCAGACTAGACAGGATATGAATTTTTAATGTTGACTAAATCAACAACAGAACAGTTTTCTGCTGTTAAATTTTCTATGGCAGAAGCCTGATCCAAGAGACTGAGACTATATTTGGTGATCACCTCATGGTGCAAATTATTATTACCAGGAAACAAGCCAGATTTTAGATTAAATAACTGTAACACTAGGTCTCTTGTACCTGTTGCATATAGACGGTGCAAGAAGGTTGATATCACATACATGTCAGTGAAGTTCTACTTCTGGTGTCTTTTTTCAATCTAGAATATGAAAGTTTATATTTACAGATAAACTTCCAGTCAGCAGCTCTGGCCTAACTGCACCCATACCAAGCGCTGTCTCACAGCAGCACCCGTGTGCGCATCCTTAAGGCGAGGGAGATCTCCACCACTGTCGAACAGCCTCTTTGGTTGAATGGCCAGCCAGAAGTGTCATACCAGGTTGTAGACAGCACTGGGATGTGGTCTAGTTTGGGGCAGGAGTCTATGGGCGTGCCTGGGCAGAATGGAGTGAAGCAAGAAACGCAGTCAGTTTGGAAAAGATGTGGTTTTTTTCTGAGGCTGCTCCTTAGAGCGAATTTGATCTCAGTTTGTTGATCTGGTAGCAGAAGGCCAATGTATGGCTGAGTTTTATGTGGCAGGTGGCAACCTAAGTGAGCTCATTCATTAGCAGCTTTTAGGTGGTTCCAATCAAGGGGATTTCAGTGTTTTAACTGTTTAGGCCATAACTCAGACTTCTCTCAGCAGCGGATTCAGTCCAGTTCTGAAACCTCGTGTGCCCTCCTAGCAGGTAACAGAGGCTGGCAAAAGTAAGACTTCATTCTGCAAAGTCTTTAGATGTCCTCTTCAATGTATGGTGCGAAGTTTCCTACTGAAATCCCAAGTCTTTCTGGTCTTTTATCCTAAGCAGGCACCAGCTGCAAACTGTGATGGATGTAACACTTGTATAAGTTGTTGAGAATTAAATGTGTAAATCCTTCACCTGTTGACTCAAATGTGCCTATGCTGAAGCCACAAGGAAGATAAATCCACAAGCTCTCTCCCAGTTCTCATGTGTGCTAGAATATGTTTTGCTCAGTTCCCTGAGACAGGTGATTAGTGAGAGCCACAGCATCCTGAAAACTCAGCTGCCTCGCTACAAACAGATGGAAGGCAAGATGCTTGTAGTCGGCAATGCTGGCATACTACCAGATCTCTTCAGTCCCGAGAGTGAAGAGCTCTTGGCCTCCTGAGTGCAGATGATGATCTGCTGGAGGTCTCATTAGTCCTTCTTCTGTGTCAAGCGGCTTGGCTTTCCGACGTAGCTGCTCTGCTGGTGTGAAAGTGAAAAATCGCATTTGGCCCCCACCAGTCCGACTCAGAAAGATGATTTCTTTACTTTCTCTCTCTGTGTAAATGTGTTGCTGATGTTACTTGTTTGTGTTCAGAAAATGGGTGCGTTTAGTTCCCAGATAGATACTTGCTTTTGTCTTCTTCGCTCTTTGCCTGGTCTGCACTTCTCTGGCCACCAAGGCCCCTGTTAAAGGAGGGGAGATGGCTCTTGGCCTGGGCCGGACCATCCTCACTCGCACCGAGGGTGGGGATCTCTGTCTGCAAGGCAGTCAAAGGCCTTGTGGTAGTTCTGCGTTTCACTGCCTCACCAGTTACTTTGCTGCTTTGCAGATGATCTGTTCTGGTCAACTGCTTCCCTTCAAAGCTGTGAAGCAATGGCAGAGCTGATATTTCCAGCTTCCCTTGTAAAAGATTTCCAAATTATTCTCCTCGTAGCAGAATGATGGAAGAAGAAACCCTTTTTAAAAAAAAAGGTATTAGAACAAGTAGCAAGGTGAGATGTGATCTTTTTTCTTTAGTGACTGATTCTTTACTTCAGGTATTCACATGCCTATTTAATAACCAGTGATTGACAATTAAAAAAAGTTAGTATTGTTGATACAAGAGTTATGTGGTGCTCTCTCTTGTCCTGACAGTGTTGCGATTTTAAGTCCTAACTTTGAAGTCTTATTTTGGCCAAATGTAATGTAACCAAGGAGCTTTGTGTGGCACATGGGAGAGGGTACAGCATGAGGAAGATGGGCCCATCCGTGTGGTTCTGTTTGGAAGGCTTCGTGGAAATAATGCAAACAAACTGCATCCCAAGACAATAATTATCTTTGTGTATTTGCAGGGATGAGAACGAGAGCGAAACTTAATTGTGCAGGTGTAATTGAGGTGATGCACAGTTATCTGCCAGGCAGCTCATAGGACTGAGACATGCTGAATTGCAAGTTACCAAGTCAAGCAAGCAACAGCTGTGCAGAGGGCAATTATTAGAATTAATCTTCTGCTGCTTTTCTTTTATGCAGTCAATAAGAATTTAACATGAGGATGAGTTTGAGAGTTTTTGTTGTAGTTTTAATGCTGGTTGTCCCAAATTTGCATATGTAAAACCAGAATTTTGTTTGACGAGTAGTTAAAGGGTTTTGTTATTACTTCTGCCCTGTGTATATGCACGAAAGTAAATCTTTTCAGTGTTGTTATTTTCTTCTTGGAATGATGGAAACAGCTTTGTTCTGTAACAGAATATACAAGGGCTGCCCAGACATTAGAAATTACTGTGTAGAGCAAGTACTGCATTATACGTACACAAATAACTGCACTGATAAAAGGATTTCTTCAGATTCATTCTGAGTTTTGCCTACTGGCCCATTTTTATCCTTTCATTCAGTTTGTGGTTTAGAACAGCAATTAAAGCAACGTAAAGTCAGTAGAGGTGCTTTTAACATTAAAAGCGTTATTTGTGCAAGACTAAGTTCAGCCTCCACCTCCAGTTGCTCTTCTCCCCAGAGTCTAGTTTAATTAGCAGTCCCTGTAGGATAACAGCAAGGTCCATTTTCTTTGTGTTCTAATGGTCTATACTTCCTTCAGCATTACATCAGAAATTGTTCTTAACATCAGACGGTGCTTAAAATGAAAGTTTCTGAGGATCGTTTTGTAGCAATTAAAACTACTTGTTTGACTGAGAAAACTACAATACTGAGATAGTAGCTAATCTGTCCTGGAACAAGCAGTAAGGCAAAAAGCTGCTGCTGTTTTAAAAATATATATGGATAAAAGAAGTCAGTTTAACAATCTACTAAGAGTAGTATTAGACAGAAGGGAGGATGCGGAAGAAAAATCATCTAGGCTTGAGGTTTAAAACAATGGGATTAATTGGAACTTTGATTTGGCTCCCCAGCGGGTCACCTCAGCTCTTCATCCTTCTCAGCCAGGTTAGAGAGCTGGCGTGAGCCTTTGGGGCAAAGCCTTGAGAGAGGGTGGGCTGCAAAGCTGAAAGGGTTTGTGGGAGTTCATGACTGTTAGGTTGAAGTCGCCTTATTGCCCTGTGGGCTTATTCAGATATAAAATTGAAGAATTTGTGACCAGTGGGTCACTGTGCACAAGCTTCAGATTTGCTTTTGCACTTCTGAAGACTTGGCTAGTATCTCCCAGGTGGGTGCACTGCCCAGGCACCGACGCTCCGCTGCACGAACTATGCGTGTTCCGGAGGAGGAAAGGTGTCACTCTGAAGAAGGGATGAAGTATATCAGTGAATCTCAGGAACAAATTCTGAAAGTTCTAAATGCCTTTCCTTACAAATATCTTGCAGAAATGTTTTCATTAGCAGCTAGTTGTAGGAAGTGATGGGAGCAGGGGGTGATTTTTTTCTAAGGGTTAGAGATTATAGTTGCAGCGGTGGTTGTTAAAGAAAAAAATATTTGTCAATTTATTTTTTTTAAAGAATATGGGTATTTGTAGAGTGAAAATGTACTGTGTTAGAATATTTTCAGCTGTTGATTGTAACTGCCCTTTGTGTGCACTAGGATACTACTGTCTCAATAGGTGTGTTTGCTGGTTGTGACTGACCTTATTTCAGTTACACACACTGAATTATGGCGCAGCGAGATGGATGCCATTCATTCTAATGCTGTAAATGATCTCAGGAGTGTCTGATATCCAGGTTAGTCACTGATCTGGGGAGGAAAGCTCAGAGTACTGGACTTGTTTTGGATGTTCAGTAAATTACTCTGATGTTAAAAGTTGGACCCAGGTCTCTTGACCATTAGCCTCTTCCCTGTATTCTAAATTATTCTGTACTAGATAGACTTTTGTTACACGCTTGGATTCAGGACTTAGGTTTTCCATCAACTGTGATGTTGTTATGTATGTTGATGAGATCAGAATACTTGTGTGAGCATCAACATGGAAATGCAGTGGAACTCCTGAGGCTTGCTGAAAAGTGTCTGTGGTCTCTGCCCAGGCATTGAATGCCTTTAATTAGAGTTTTGGTTTGTTGCAGAAGTAGCAGCATTAATGAAACTCAGTGTTTCCTACTAAATGTGATCCGGCTCTATCATAATGGTTTTGCTAAGTGACCAAAATGAAAGCAATCTGTTTGAGGACTTGCAGTTCCTGTCATCGTTTTATTGCTAGCCAAACAAATACTCTGCTGTAGTCCCATCACTGCTGAGTACTCAGCTATGGTTAATTTTCCAGTTACTACAGATAAATTATTTGGAAGTGTAAATATGCTGCCCCTAATGATGTTTGTGATATTAAAAGGTTTGCTGATAGCTGAAGTCTCCATACTGACTCAGAGGTACAGAGTGTTTAAATGTGCTTTTTCCCTCCCCCCCCTTTCTTTCTCTTGGGACTGTTGCTTCTTTCAGGGGCTACGATGACCCCGTTGAGACAGAGGTGGTTGAAGAGAGGATCCCTTACCTTCATGGTGGCTACGCAGCACCGCTGGCACAGCCAGAGAGAGGAAGCATGGCTAGTATTGACCGTCTGGGGAAGCGCTCCCCCTCTATTGACAGCATTCGTAAAGACCCCAGGTGGAGGGACCCTGACCTCCCCGAAGTGATTGCCATGCTCAGCCACCCTATTGATCCGGTCAAGTCTAACGCCGCAGCCTACTTGCAGCATTTGTGCTACGAAAATGATAAGATCAAAAAGGACGTGAGGCACCTTAAAGGGATACCTATCTTGGTGGGTCTGCTTGATCACCCAAAGCCGGAGGTCCATCGTAAAGCCTGTGGGGCTCTCAGGAACATCTCCTATGGGAAGGACAATGAAAACAAGGTGGCTATAAAGAACTGTGATGGGATCCCTGCATTGATCAGACTGTTGCGAAAAACAAATGACATGGAAGTCAGAGAGCTAATTACAGGTCAGTGTCTGTAGTTTCTTTAATGAATTATTCTTTAGAAGAGTCTTTTCAGCTTCAGGAACAAGAATTTCTGGAGATCAGAGCATTGAAGGAGAATTTATATCACTGGCTGCAGCTGTTTCTTTAGCCACACCACACTTGTGGTGTGAGAAAGGGCAAACGTGTCCTTCAGGAAGAAATGGAGATTGTCTGTGTACGTAGCACACTCGGGTTTCCTTGGCTGCTGGAAGATGGATGACGCTTCTTGGAAGTAGCATGCAACCACGTGTGTTTGAGTTACTGAAGCTTAAATGAGTTATAGCAACTTCATTGATAGGTAGTTTGTAGTGCGGTTGCCCTCAACGTGTTACAATCGTGAGGTAAGATATGCTAATCTAAAACTTGCCTTGTTAATCTCTTATAAAACAATCCTGCTGCCATGTCCCCACTACTTCGTATTGATAGGAACCAGTCTCCTCAGGAACACTTCCAGCCTGGGGACTCTGAGGCTGTATATAAAGTTGCAGCACTTCTGGGCTGGAAAACTCGATTTTAAGTAGCCGTAGAGTCAGCTGTTGAGATGCTCTGGACATGGGGTTTGGTTGTTGGAATAAATGGCAAAGGGAGAATTACATTTTGAAGTTACTGAGTTTGTCCACACTTTGCAGGGAATTTTCAATCACTTCTAACTCCCTTATTCAACCTGGCTTTTATTTGAACTTAGTCTTGGACATCATCCAAAAAAGACTAATAAAATAGATGCCAAGTTTCAAAGTTCAGCCGTTAAGTGGAAAAGGGTGGAAAAGTATGTCAGCTCCTAACTTAGGAGAAATATGTTGTTCTGCAGTCTCCCATAACTCATGAGGAGTGAACTGGATTTCCCTTTCTCAGAAGCAGCAGGGGATGTTTGGATAGAGACCAGGGCAGTTGCAATCAATTTCAGTGCCAGAACAGAATTTTTCAGAAAGTTTTGTGACTGTGAAAATGGGTCCAGGGTTGAAACTGTTTCGCTGCCTTATCAGTGTTGGATTCGCCGGGCAGACCCTGTTGCAAATGTGGATTAAGCCATAATTCTATAATCGTCTCAAAAAAATTATAGTAGCTTTCCAAGTTTTTACTGGTAATCATAATTCTCCAAGATGAACAGTGGCCTCGGATGTTCCAGCTGCTCTTCTCCAGCCATTACAGGGTATTTAGCAAAGTGAGTCTAAATATACAGTGTTGAAACTAGCAGAGATGTTTTTCCAGTCCTTTTCCAGTGAGCTGGTAAAGGAGAGCTGTCTTGTCAGGGAACCTTGAAGTAGCATGTGTTGGTTGTGCTGTGATTGCTCTCTGTGCTTTGTCTCTTACCGTGGAAACTCTGTAGGCAGTATTTATATTCCATTTGTTGCACTCATTTAGAATGATGGGTTACTTAATTTTTTTTTTTTTTTTTGTAAATAAAGACTATCTGTTTATCTACTCTTCTAGTTTACTCAAAACTTGTTTCTGGAGTGCTGAGAAGGAATAAATTTATTTCTTTAGATTCAAGAAAGGAGAAAGCAGTCTGTAATTTACTGTGAAGGAATATCATTATAATGCTAAGTGTTAATCCGTCACTTTTGAGATATTAAAAACAAACTCTGTGTTTTTGCTTTTCACTCTAAAGGGCTAATGCTTTGATTTTCAGTTGATTAATTAGGTTTACAGTTCAAATGCATTTTATTTGACAGTAGCTCCTGATAATTTGAGTGTAGTGGTTTTATTCCACTTTGGTTTCTGCTGTTTAAAGCTCTTTATTTCCCCTTACTGAAAAACACCGGGAATACTGAGAGCATTGACCTAAACAGATGTCCAGCAACAGATGATGTGCATTTAATCTCCACCTAACCAGGAATAATTTCATTCCACTTCTAAAATGATATCACCAGATCCGGTGTGAGACATTGAAGCATCAGTGTAGAAGAGAAGGGTATTCCAGCAATGCCTCGGTGACGGATGCTCGCGTGCTTGCAGTCAGTGTTCAAAGCCTCGGCTGATGATGTGGAATTGTCCATTTGAAAAATGAGCTCCAAAAGTCAGCAGAGAGAAACAAGGGCCAACTTGAAGTGCAAAGGGAGCATTCAGCCAGGGCATCTACAAAAGGACTGTGTTTTGCAGCCTCAAAAATGCAAATCACATTTCTGATGTTCCTGTGGTAGAAATCTTGACTTCCTATCTGGGTGCTTTTCCCTAGTGAAGAACCAAAGTCTACCTTTGCCATGGAAGTTTTTCCTTCTCTCTGGAGTGAAATCTCTGGGGACTTCTGCAGCAATGCTAAGAAAAAAAAAAAAGGAAGAAAAAACAGCAGCATACAGAGTTTACTTGTTTGTTTATTTTAACAGGCTGCAAATTTTAGTTTGGTATGACACATTGATTTTTCTGTGGTTTAATATTTCTTTAGCTCAATACTGGTTGCTTTTTGAAAGCTGAATAGTCATCATATGCTGGTCATTCCAAATGTGGACGAATGATAAAAGAATCCTGCTTTCCGAAGAGATTTAAGTAATTTAAAGAAATGTAAATAATTCAGATGTCCAATATCAACAGCACTTCCAGTCTTGAAGTTTTTCTTTTCTGGGTGTGGGACACTGCCTGACTGCAGGACAGGAGGTACATGGGAGTGTACAATAAGACACACTATTTGCAGCTGGAGAGGGTGCTTTCTGGCAAAAGAGCGCATCAATCTCATCTAATTTGAGAGTCAGTCCTTGGCTTTAGTACAGTTCCACAGCCTCTCATTAACTTGGTGATCTGAGGCAGCAGCCGCAGCTGTTGAATCTGGCCAGCCAGCTGGGTCTGGGCAGTGGGTTAATGGAGTGGGAAAAAAGCCACGCCGACATGTGAAAAACGCATGAGAGGTGGATGCAGTGGCAGGGGAGGGTGAGGGGGGAATTGAATATGTGACGCTTCGTGCTGAATGAGTGAGACTTGATGTGTCAGAAGTGTCTTCACTTGACTACATCCCAGAATAAATGTTTTGGAGAATGCAAGTCAGACAAGTCTATTGCCATACAATTCTGGAAGCAGGCTGAGTAAATTCATACAACACTACTGCCAGATTCAGCAAGTCTGTAGCTTTTTTCTTTCAGATAGCGCTGGTTTTAGCAGAATTTGAAAACCTCCTTTGGGTTAATGCCATCTCTGCTTTACCAGACATTCTTGATATATCTGCAAATGGCACTAAAACGTGATGTCCCTCAAGGTAAGACAGACGAGCGAGGCAGGTAAAAATACCTTAAAAACTAAGGATACATTCAGAGCTCGCATTTCTTTCTTTCTAACGTGTGGAGTTATGTTTCTCTTTTCACTGAGAAAAGCTTGATTTAACAGTTAAAGTGTCCATAAGTAAATCACAAGTAGAGTTATGATGAGAAATATTCCACAAAATTCTTCCTTGCGTCTATTTGTAGTCTTTGAAATGTACTGCTGAACTTTCAGTGGATCGTTTTCTTGAGAAAAGGAGAGAAATGAGGATTAAACTGATAAGGAATTAAATCTGATTGGGAAAGCTGCACAAGTCTTATCTTGAGTGATAAGGGTTTGTTTAGTTTGGGGATTTTTGTGAAGAAAATGTTCCTATCAGATATGCAAGACCAAAATTCTATTAGATTCTTTGAAAAGCAATCAGAAGTTGTAGCTTTAATGAATAATTCTGTTCTTTGTGAGAGCGCTGAAAGTAATTTTGTTGTTTAACAACATTGCACTGATTTTAAGTGGTGCAGAACGTGATTCTCCTGATGCTGTATATTGCCAGACTGTTTTTAATTGAAAAATGATCGACCTTCAAAATGCTCTGCAGAGGAGATATTTTGATCTAATACTGTAATAGAAACTTGCAGATTGATCGACTTGCTCAGAATTCACACCTTCTGGGTACTTATGTGTGCTAAGATGCTGTCAGCTTGATCAGACACTGACTTCTCTTCGAAGTACCATGCTGTCTTGAACTTTCTGATTACAGGTGAGCTTCCTGCTTCCATTTTCTATTAGAAGGCTTGTGAGAAGAAGGTCCCGTTCCATGGTGTACTCTGTGACACAGTAGTTCATGCTGAGGTTCTAAACTGGATTGCTGCTTAGTTTGAAGAACCACAGCTCCAGTCTTCAGGACTTGGAATGATACAAACAAGTCTGTCAAACAAATGCATACAGGACCAGCATGCAACAAGAAGTCCTTGGTGCATGTAATGCAGAGCTCTTGATTTTCCTAAATGCTAAATGATTTAGTAAGGGCCGTAGATACAGAATTAAACAGCTTCTTCATCTAATTTCTTAGACATTAGATTTTTGCAAGTAAGCAAGCACAGCAGGAAAAGATTTCCCTTGGATTTCGGAAAATAATAGCATGTGTGCATTCTGCCACAGTTTCTTTAGAAATCTTTTCACAGCTCCAAGGGGCTGGAGATGTAGGAAATTATGGCTGTGGCCCTAATCACTTTTAATACTGCATAAAACATGTAGCTATGTTTATAGCTTATAGTAATTTTTAATATATTTTTACAATAATTAGTACTTTTGAAATAAAAACTTGTAGCTGTTGTCCGTGCTTAACATGCTGAAATAGTAGAGGTAATGGTTGTAGTTAGAAATATGTAAGATAATTACAAATGGTATTTATGAATAAAGATTGATCATGATTGTGATTATCTTCTGAAAAGCTATAGTTCATCTTCTTTCTCTAGTCCTAAAATTCATGCACTGTGGTCAGAAAGGCCAATACTTGCAGTGAAATTGCACGGAAAACTTGGATAACTTCATTTCCTTTATGCTGATATGTTAGACTTGATTTCTCTTGAGTGCTATTAATTTGAATTGATTAAACTTTGAGTTTTAAAAGCAGTGTTTCCAGCTTGTTAGATCATTAGTGTGTTACACTAATAGAGACAGGGAAGGATTTTTCAAGATGGATTTCAAATTTACAGTGATTTTAATTTTTTTTCTTACTCATATTTTCTTTTAACACTGCTAAAACCTACAGTCTGATCTGAATTTGTTCACTTTTTTTTTTTTTTAAGTTCCAGTGGCTGGCCTTATCCATTTTTTTTTTTTTTTTTTTTAAGTCCCCGTGGCTGCCATTATCAATGTCTTTTCCATGGAATTTGTTTTCTTAAGAACTGAAAGGATGCTGGTATTTAGACCTCTTGGTTAAGTTTTTCTTACTTAAAATTAATTCTTGGTGTTTATTTTCTGTATCTTTTCTTGTGGAATATTTTCCCAATGAAGTCAACCTCGAATCTGAATTTTTTCCTCTGCCTTTGGAACTACAAGATTCTGTCATCTCTGTTTCTTGGGCTACTTTACTGTTAAGGGCTGTGCATTTTCCTTCGCTGAATGCTGTTCAACAGAGGGATTCTTCTGGTTTTCCTCACGCAGCTGTCAAGGAGAATACTATACATTTAAGTGGTTTGACATTTTTGAGTAATTTTAAGAGCTTTGTGCTATTTTTTATGTAGTAAGACTGTCTTTTATTCTTCTTCACAGTTTGTTGGTGTCTTCTAGGAAACATTTGAGAGATGGGAGGCAGAAGAGAAACTGAAAAGCTTGTAAACTCTTGGGGGTTTTTTCTTCAAAGAGGATGGAGGAAAGGCATTCTGTTTAACTGCAGTCCCAGTTGTCTGGTAGCCACTCAATGAGATCGGCAGTCAAAATGTGTTTGCCCCAAACAGTTTATTGCATAAATTGCAATCAGCCTCTTAATAAGAATTCTGGATAAGGATGTACAAGAGATCCTCTTGTAGGAACAGGTAGTTCTCTTGGTCTGCATGGGGTTACTAGCGTCAGCAAAGCTGACTCCTGTGTGATGGATTGGCAGGTTAGTGCTGGTTTCAGTGTTGCAATCCAGTTAGAATACCAATGAATGCCAGTTGCATTTAGTCTCTTGAAATAAATGAGAATATAGGAATCAGAGAACCACAGAATGGTAGGGTTTGGAAGGGACCTCTGTGGGTCATCTAGTCCAACCCCCCTGCCGAAGCAGGGTCGTCTAGAGCAGGCTGGCTTGTGGAGTTTCTAAATGATGAAAGATGGTGCTGAAGAGCAGCTCTGCGGAGAGGGACCTGGGAGTGCTGGTGGGTGGCAGGTTGACCATGAGCCAGCAGTGTGCCCTGGTTGCCAAGAAGGCCAATGGGATCCTGGGGTGCATTAAGAGGAGCATGGCCAGCAGGTTGAGGGAGGTTCTCCTTCCCCTCTGCTCTGCCCTAGTGAGGCCCCATCTGGAGTACTGTGTCCAGTTCTGGGCTCCCGGAGTAGCTACCAAAGAGAGGCCAGCGGACGGCTGATGAGGGGACTGGAGCATCTGTCCTATGAGGAAAGGCTGAGGGAGCTGGGCTTAGTTATCCTGAAGAAGGGAAGCCTGAGAGGGGACCTTAGAAATTCTCATAAACATCTTAAGGGTGGGTGTCAGGAGGATGGGGCCAGACTCTTTTCAGTGGTGCCCAGCGACAGGACAAGGGGCAACGGGCACAAACTGAAGCATAGGAAGTTCCACCTGAACGTGAGGCAGAACTTCTTCCCTCTGAGGGTGACAAAGCCCTGGAACAGGTTGCCCAGGGAGGCTGTGGAGTCTTCTTCTCTGGAGATAATAAAAACTCGTCTGGACAAGGTCCTGTGCAGCCTGCTGTAGGTGACCCTGCTTCAGCAGGGGGGTTGGACTAGATGACCCACAGAGGTCGCTTCCAACCCCTACTGTTCTGTGTGATTCTGTGATCTTATTTTACATTTTGGGGTTGAAGGTATTGAAATCTAGACACAATTCCGCAAGTCTTAAAACAAGCAAAAGATTTGAGCATTGGAACACTTCTGTACAGTCCTGTAATATTAGAGCTCTTGGAAATTTTATAGGTATTTTTGGCTTTTTGAGTATTTGTCTGCCCAATTCTTCTTAAGCAGTGAAATTTGCCTTTGTAGTTTCATTATGCAGATAACACATGATGTCACTCCTACAGGAAAGAGGAAAAGGCAGCATCTCATTTCATGCGCAAAAGAAGTATGTGTGTTTAAGGAAGGAGCTCTTAAATATGAAGGGTTGTCAGATTTTAAAGCTTAGCTTTTCCACATACAGATGATTTTAAATCTCCACGTTGTCTGCAGTTACAGTATTTTGCAGTTTCAAAAGAACAGAAATGCAGGATCCTTACAAATGCTGTACTTGGCTCCTCAGCTGATGCTGTCTTTTCCGAACAGTGTTTTTTTGACCACTATATACCAAATGCTCTATTTATGTTCCCGTGAGGGAACCATAACACAACCTTCCATAACCAGGGTATTCTGCACCCGCTGTTCTCAGTTTGAATCTGGGTTTGCTCCACAGACTATTATCCTGTATAATTTCCTGGGATTTACCCATCTCATTCAGTGCTGGGATGTTTGGATTTTGCGTTTGAATTTTGAAGTACTGAGCCAGCAGTGCATTTAGGGATTTAATTGTCATTTTTATTTTTGTATCAATGAGCCTGATATGCTTAAGGAATTGGTGTAGCAATAACTAAAAAAAGACTGTCTAGTGAAGTATTTAAAATTAATTGGGTAGCTTATATGTTATTTTTTATAGTCTTATTTTAAATATTAACTTGTGTTTTTTTTCTTGTACGATGTATATTTTTGAGCCAGTTTGTTACGAGAAGTAAAGGCTTTCTTCCACAACAAAATTAGGCCAGTTAGCATTTTCTGCTTGGTTTTGTTTTTTTTCTTTCTTATTGTCCATTGTGTTTGGTGTTTTGCTGTGACAAAGGGTGATTTATTGTAATGGGTACAAAGAGAAAATTAATTCCTATTTCACCTATACAGTCTTGTTTGAAAGCTAAAAAAGTAGGTTATGAAAATCTCATACAGTGTGTTGTCAATGAACGGCAAGGGAAATAGGCCAGAAAAAGCGATACTTTTGTGTTGTTTTAGAAAAAGACTGAAACATGATGGTGTTCATTCGGTTGTCTGCCTCAGAGTTTCTTTATTAATTAATATGGTCTCCTAAGTCTGAACAGATGCCTGGATTTTGTAAAGAACGCTTTGTATAGGAGACACCATAGAATTTGACTTCTGAGGCTCTGCTAATCATCAGCTTTTGAGATTATTGTAGAAGTGCCAGTCACTACTCAAATGAGATAAAATTCCTGTCCTGACCTGATACCTGTCGTGACCCTATATGGATAATACTCTGATACTAAAATAGGACGTTTGGCATTTGACACTTCTAACTTGCAGCACTGAAAGCTTGAGAGCGAAGGACTGTTCCCATGTAAGAGTGACCTTTGCTCGCCCAGGGTGCGGCATGGTGGCCAACACAGGGACCCTCAGGTTAATGTTGTGTCCGCTTACGGAAGGATTTCCTGCGTGTTCTGGGGAATCTGGCTTTTCCGTTTGGTCTGTCTGAGATTTTGCTGGTCTTCACACTTTTTCTTTGAGATCAAAAGTGTGCATCTGGCTCTCTCCAGGTGTTGTTACTGATAGTTCTCAAATGTGACCAGGCTGAGCCTGTGCAGAATTTCTCTCTGAAGTGAATATCCTGTTTTAGTCCTGACCCAATGAGCAGTAACAGTCAGGACACCGACAGGTCTGCTGGGAAGTTGCGTCGCTTATCTAAGACTGGATATTTTTACAGTTGTAAGCCTGTTCTTCTGTTATATTGTTTCAGTGTTTGACTTTCTGCCTAACGGGGCTCGTAATTGAGGTAAAAATGGAAAGACAGAAGAGTTTTGGTTTTCAGCTTCTTCAAGGAATCAGATGCTTGTGGCACCAGGTGATTTGAACACAGATACTGCCTGTGACAGGAAAACATGAAATAATGGAGAAGAGTCTTGAGTGAAATATTGTCTTGTGCAGAGGATAAGCATAAGATCAGTGGTCATTCATAAATGCATCCCTGTTTTTAAGACTTGCTCAATATACTTGTCTGCTGCACTGGATGATCTTTTACTTTTTGAGGCGTAGCTAGACTTAAAAGTGTAACAAAATTTTATGTAGCAGAAAAATCCTGTTTAATCTCCAATAGCAGATCACATTCATGTGCCCTGTTGTAGGACTTGATGACTTCAACAATATCCATGTCTCAATAAAAGTGCTTGCATGCTTTTGGGAATGTTTCTGTTGCAGTGACTGTGGAATTTTCCCTAAGCTATGTGCTAGGCTGGTGTCTCATCAAGTGTTTCAACTTTTCATTTAGTTTTATGATTTAACCGTCTAGTGATTCTCTGTGTATCTGGTGTTTCTATTTAATCTAGAGATTTTAAATAGTTATTGCTCTTTCGTTATTTAATCATCATTGTTTCTGCTGCAGGCACCCTGTGGAACTTATCCTCCTATGAGCCCCTGAAGATGGTCATCATCAACCACGGTCTGCAGACGCTTACCAATGAGGTGATTATACCCCATTCAGGTTGGGAAAGCGAGCCGAATGAAGACTCTAAGCCTCGCGATGCTGAGTGGACAACTGTCTTCAAGAACACTTCTGGTTGCTTACGGTAAGGCAGAACTGTGGAGTATTAATCTGTTCGCCGCATCCTGTGTTTAGGATTTTGCTAAAATTATTTTAATTTGAAACAAAGTATCATATATCTTTCGTTTTTGCAGAGGTATCTCCATTTAGTGGCTAAAAAAGCAATGCTTTGCCTGCCATGAGCTCTCTTGTTGTAGGACTTGTCAATGTACGACTGTCCAGTGGGGTCAGTGTGCAGAGTGGGTCATTTATCCAGGTTAGGGTGAGTGGGTATCTAAGGGGGGGGTGTATAATACAGTGGAGAGTGACCCAGATGACGATAACTGTCAAGCTAAGTACAAAAAGCAAACTGTAATGTAAACTGCAAATGCCACGCAAACTGTGCTGTAAGCACTGAGAATCACACTTATGTGTGTCTGCTGTGCTGTGATCAGGGGGCTGTTTCTATAAATTTGGAGCACCTTCTCTGATTCCTTTGGTGGTGCTGGTTTTATTTATTTGAAAAACGTGTTTTCGAACAACTCCCTTCTTGGTTTTTAGGCCTTCTCCTATCAAAAGGTATTCTTTTGCAGATGCTAAAGAGCTGGTTTCATGGAATTACCCTGAGCCTGAAACATGGATCCAGTTTTAGCCACAAACACTTTTGTGGACACCCTCCTATTTTAAGCTGAAGTGACTAAGGGCCTATGGGAAATTAGTTAAGAACCTGAACTACCGACTATGTAGGAACCTATTTCTAATATTCCTTGCAAAGGAGCCTTTTTTGATGAGAAATTGTACTTCCATTTCTGAGAGCACCATGAGAGTAGGACAGTATGTACTAGAAGCTGGGGTCAGGAGGAGTCCTAACATGGTCTGAAAAACCTGAACCACCAATGTTGCCTAAACACAGTCTTTCATTGTGCTTTTCTTTGAGATAAAATAGTGGACGTGCCCTGTTAGATTCTTCAGCTTTATGACGAAGTCAATTAGTTTGAACAAAACTAATAAAGGTTTGACATTGTATCTTCTGTTGCTCTGAAGTGTGCTTCTGTCAGATTTCTACTGATTAGTGCATCTTCAGAAGTTGGTTCATTTCTGTTTCCTGGGCTTATGGTCTCTAAATTGCAATAACTATTCCCCTGAGTAACTTCATAAATGAAGAAAGTAATGAAAAGTGTTCTGAAAGGGCCCATTACTGAAATTATTTGCAGTCCCACTGGAAACTAAGGTCCTTTAAGTAGGCTCCAGACATCATAGGTTTTTACTTACTAGTGTCTCATTTTCTAATAGTCTTCTGCAAGAGGAAATTAGTCATGGTAGGGGATAAAAGGATTATCTGAATGAATATGAGATTCTCCAGTAAGTGTAGACAATAAATTGATCACTGCTAGACTAACTTAATCCACATCATAAATTTTTATTAGTATGTGGATCCACTTGAACTTCGACATTCCAGGGTAGCTTTGGGGGTTTGGTTGGTTGGTTGGGTTTTTTTGATGTTTAAAGTAGGTAGCTGCTTTTACAGTACAGGCAAAAGCTTGTGCCACTTTGGACATTGTGTTCTTAAGGCTGATGAAGAGGGATGTGGAGAATGGTAGTACTGAGATATGTTAGTTAGAGAACTTTTGGTATTTAAAAGTGGTCCTGATGCACTTCAGGTGCATTAGGGCAGCGGCCAGTGAATGGTGACTGCTTCTGTTGTTGAAGGGGGGAAGTGTTTTTCAGCCCTTTCATCGCCACTGTTGCAGTCAGGTGGAGTTGTGTGCTTCCTCGTGGAAGACATGAAGCTTCAGTCAGATGTGGGGCAAGGTGATTGCATGCTTGAAAGTGGTTGTTTAAGGTAAATGGAGACGTGATGGCAGACTAGCAGGGAAAGGTAATCTAAAAAAGGTAGTTTGTCTGTATCTCTCTGTGCTGTGGAGAGAGCAACTTCTCGCATAGGAAGCGGGGGGAACTGCCTTACTGTCTCCGTACTTCTTGTTGTGAGATAGAGTTCAGGACAACAAAGACCCAGGAGTAGGAGAGGTATGAGCTGTCTTTCAGCTGATTGTACTTCTAGTTGCAGTGTTGGTGATATTACGTACTTTTTGTAGAGCACTTTCAGATCTAGAGATAAAAATTGACATATCAAAAGTAATTGCCATTACTACTGTTGGAAATAATTTTGCATCGTTTGTTGAAATCCTCTGCAGCTCATCCTTAAAAGCACTAGCAAGATAAGATAGATAACACCAGCAGAGAATAAATTGTTGCAGCCATCTGTCTGACAGACGTCAGTGTTTAAAAACCCCTTTGCCTGCTCTTCTCTTGTTGATACAGTAGCTGGTCCTAGCAATTCCATTTTTCGTGAATGGAGCTTATTGCAGACTACCAACTGTTTACCAATTTGATATTTAATTGGGAGGTTGGTCCTTTTGATGGCGTGCCAGCCTCCTTTCTCCCCTTTGGATGTGAGCCTCAGGTGTGTGCTGCGTTGTCTTCCAAAACAACTGAGACAATCTTTGAACTTCCGAGGTTTCAGATGTCCTTGCAGTTTAGATATTTAAGCAGAAGATAGGCGTTATGCGTGCCGGATGGCATTCATTTCAATATTGTTTTCGCAGTTAATGAAGTTTATCAACAGATGTGGGCGAGTTTGTTTCAAACTCAGTAATTCACAGCGTGAACTGCCAGTTAATTATTTGCCCTTTTTTTTTTCCCCACACTGCTTTCTCATCATTACTTTATTCTTAATCTAAGTCTCTCCTTTGATAACATGGAGCCTTGGAAACACTTATTTCAAAATAACTGAAAACAAGTAATTAAAAAAAAAATAAAATCAACACTTATTTGCCTTTACCTCTTCTTCGAAGGCTGATCCATCCCATTTTCCTTTCCAGTCCTATCCTGTCAACAACACTTTTTTCCCCGTGTGTAATTTGTAAGACTCTCTCACTCTCCTCACTTTGGGAGTTCAGGTGCTGATGTATGTCCAGGTCTTAGTAGGATGGGGTGAGTTGTATCCTGCGTAGTCAGCTTGGCCTGCATGTGCCTGAGAGTGGATTAAAGCCTGGTATTATCAGCACAGATAGTGTGGTGCTACAGGTATATGTGGGACAGAAGGATGCTTTAGCGGAGGGGTCAGTAATTGGGGCCAGTATCTTAGCAGACATCTGTACCTGCACCAGAGTTGCTTTACTTGGGAATTAACTTTGCAAGATAAGAGGCGTGATCCATACACTCTTATGCCCCTTACCCAAAGCTTAGGTAGTTTACTGGCTTTGTGTAGCCCTGATTTCTACCCACTTTCTGAAGTGACAAAAATCCATCTGCTATGCTTGATGTTGATTTTAGTCTGTATGGCCAAAGGAGTTGCGCTCGGGAATGGATCTGTCTGAGCTGCAATTTGAGAAAGCCCTGTGCGTGGTACTGGGCAGTGTTGGACCTCAGCTTTTACAAGCTGGAAATCGGAGAAACTGTGCAAAGTTTATCATCAAGAAAGCTGTTCAAATACTGTCTCTTTTACCATGAGTTAAATAACTCTGGGCTGATTGTGATAAGTAGTGATGTCCGTACTGAACTACCATAGCTCACATGGTAGCTCACTGACTATGTGTACGTAGACAATGTACAGGTAGCCAGTATGAATCAAAGGAAGAAAAGGCAACTGGTTAAGGTTTATATTGACTTTGGAGACCAACATTTATTTTAAGAGCTCCTTCTAAAGTCAAGCCTTCTCCCATGACTGTGGCGGTTGTAGGGATCTTTTGAATCCTGATACCATCTAGACCATGATGAGTGGGTTCTGTGTGCCATCCCACTCTGTACTTGATGTGCCAAAAATTCTTGAAACAAGTGTTTTGGGAATCCTGTATTCCCCTTTGCAAAACTAAGACTTGGCAGTGCAGCCAATTTGCAAACTATGATCAGGTAGTGAAATTTATTGCATCCTTTTTCTGTAATCTTTACCAAGAAACACTGAAGTTTTCAGAAACTAGTGTAGGTGATGATAATTTTGTCTCCATTCTTGTCCCAAGATCAGGAAAAAGGTGTTTCCTCTTCCATTGCTGTGTTTTGTTCATAGGGGCAGACTCAATGTGATGAATGGATCTGCAATGTCCATAATAATAATTTTACTACTTAAAATGGCCATGAGCCTTGTGAGAAGTGCTATCTTGGGTGTAATTTAATACAGTAAAGGTATTCTTATATTCTGTTTAACCTGTTGAGAGAAATAGATATAGTGGAAATCTGGAAAGGAACTGTAAAAAACAAAGCAAAGATTGATTTATTGAAGTTAAGTGGATTTTTGGTTATGGAAAAGTAGGACTGGGGAAGAAGTAAGGAAGACATTAGCTAGGAGAATTGTTAAATATGCACAAATGTTCCTTTATTTCATTTGAAGTACAAGTTCCATGTCTTCACATTGTATTTTATTCTTTTAGGTATGTGGAGAATGTCTCTTCTAGTTACTGTCTGGTTTGGTTTTTTTTCTTTAAACCCCTGAATCCCTACTGGGATTTGCAATCCAGAAGCATTAATTTTTAAATTGTACTCTCTTCCAGTTTAAATAATGTAATGATTTGGTGCATCTTAACAAGGTCATTTCATGATCTTTCCTACAACTTTGACCCAGCCATTAAGGTGCTTTAGGAGAAGAGCACAAGTTGAACTGCTTGTGGGATCGATGGAGCTGAGGCTAGCTCACTTGCACCCAGGCAGTGCCAGAGACCTTCGCTGTGTCTCCAGGTTTCTCCTGGACCCACCGTATCTGTGGGTCAGCGAGTGCTGCTGCAGTCACCTTATCTTGTTTGTCTTCTGTGTAGAGATCCACCATGATTCCTAGTTCTCTGGAAGCAGCAAGGATTTTAATGGTTTAAAAATGAAATTAATTCTGGGCTTAATTGCCATTTTCTGCCTAATTACTTTTAATTCTCGCTTGGATTTTTTCACTTCTAAGAGGACAGAGTTAGAACTTAGTTCCTAAATTTCCAACTTTCTAGCCTGATTCCTGTGCTAAACTGACCTGCTGTCAACAAATGTTAGATGAATTAATTTGCATAG